GAGATCATGACCTGAGCTGAAGTTGGATGCTTAACCGACTGAGATACCCAGGCACCCCCTGGTAACTGTTTTTCAATTAAATCATTTATTTATTTATTTAAGTTTATTTATTTAGACAGGTAGCCGGTCTCTCAAAATAAGTAAATAAACTTAAAAAAAAGAAAAAAGTAAGCCAACTCAGCTCAGAAATAAACCTTTGTGTAATTAGTCAACAATCTTCCACAAGGATGTCAAGACCATTCAAATAGGAAAGGACGATCTCTTCAATGGTATTAGGAAAACTGGGTATCTGGATATCCACATACAAAAGAATGAAGTTGGACCTGTATCTTCCACCACATACAAAAGTTAACTCTAAATGGATTAAAGACCACATATATATGGTTTTTCTCTCCCTCTGCCCCTCTCTCCTGCTCACATGCTCTCTCTAAAATAAAAAAAATAAGAAAAAAATCTACAGCTCAACAAAAAAATCAAGCAACTTGATTAAAAAATGGGCAAAGGACTTGAATAGACACTTCTCCAAAGATCACATACAAATGGCCAACAAGCGTATGAAACGATAGAAATGCAAATCAAACCACAGTGAAATATCACCTCACTATCAGGATGGTTATCATCATCAGGATGGCTACCATCAAAACTAAAACACCCAGAAAATAACAAGAGCTGGTGGGGACGTGGAGAGCTTAAAACCACTGTGCACTGCTGGTGGGATTATATGACACAGTGGGAAACAGTATGGTGGTTCCTCACAAAATTAAAAAAAAAAAAAAAAGAAACTACCATATGACAGCAACCTCACTTCTGGGTATATATCCAAAGGAACTGAAAGCAGGGACTCAAAAGATTTATTTACACAACCCATGTTCGTAACAGCAACTATTCACAGTGGCCAAGAGGCCAAAACAACTTAAATGCCCATCAATAGATGAATGGATAAACAAAATGTGGTATATACATACAAATGAATAGTATTTGGCCTTAAAAAAAAAAAGAGCAAAACATGAATGAACCTTGAGGGCATTATGCTGAATGAAATAAGGCAGTCACAAAAGACAAATACTGTATGATTCCAGTTATATGAGGCATCTCAAGTAGTCAGATTCACAGAAATAGAAAGTAGAATGGTGATTATCAGGGGGAGGGAGGAAGGGAGAGTTTGCTGTCTAATGGTTATAGAGTTTGAAAATGTTCTGAAGATCTGTTTCACAATAATATAAATGAACTTACTACTTAAGTATACACCTAAAAATGGTTAAAATGGCAAATTATATGTTACGTGTTTTTATCACACACACACACACACACACACACACACAGCTAAGTCAGAAAACGAATTACATTCTTTGTAGCATTAATTTGTGCTAAAATAAACTTTACAGAATATATGAACCACAAGATAAATATTAAAATATAAAAAATTTTATACTCAGAAAACTTTGTTACCTGCAACAAATCCAACTACTAAATCTTTTCCAGTAGTAGAACGTTGACCTTTGACCCAGACTGCTTTGAGACTATTAAAAGTGTAGAAATAGACAAAATTGGAGCAGCACAGACTGGAGATAACTGGAAACCACCCTCGATATGGTGCCAGGCTAGAGGAAAAACACAATAAGCCAAGTAAAGATGCTGGACAAAAGCCAGTAGAAATGGGCAAAGTCCCAGGAAAAGCTGATCATTCACATATTCTCGAAGTTCACTTCTGTATTACAACATGCTCCAAACTGCACATATATTTCATATTCTGAAAGATACCCAAACCAACTACCATTAATGATGCCAAAGAAACAACACACTTTCAATGATTGATTTTACTGATTTCCTCCCATTGATTTCCTTTAGTAAGTTACTATGTAAGATTAGAGACAATTTCTTCATGGCTATTAGTAAATGTGGCATCACTCACATTTTACTACAAGGTAACAGCATTTAAAATGAAGAAAATATAGATAGCAAGTATAAAAAAAAGAAGTGGTTGGGCGCATGTTATAAGGGCACAGGAACATGGCTGAAGGGCTCCTACTAGCCACACCTGGGACAATTTAAGCACCAAAATAATATCATATAGTAATCAATTATAAGCCACGGAAAAAGCAGGAATTTTTGAGTTTAATACTGATACTAAAGTTTCTTTTCATAGACTGTTTATAGTTGCAAGAGAGGAAAAATTATTCAGTGGCTAACCCAAATCTGAGAAACCATAATTAAGCAATGATGGGCCAGTGGACAATATGTGACTCCAGATGTGATATCCTAAGGACACGATATCACCTATGCATTATTCTGGCCAAGAATGCAGAGCTTCAATCTAATCATAAAGAAATGTGAGGCAAAGTTAAAATGAGAAGTATGTTATTAAAAAAAAAAGGGAGGGGAGTTATATTCTTTAAAATTATTAATGTGATAGGGGTAAAAGCTTTGATGTATGGTGTGTACCTTACTCTTAAATAATTTTGAAAAAAGTTTGTGTGGTGTGTGTGTGTGTGTGTGTGTGTGTGTGTGTGTAACAGAGAAGAGGGAGGGTGAGAAGGGAGAGAATATGAGCACAGATGGTAAAATAAATGGGAAAAAGTGTAATAGGTCCATCTGCATAAAGCATATACTGATATTCTTTGTACTATTTTTAGTTTCATAATTTTTTGTGAATTTGAAATTATTTCCAAATAAAAAGTAAAAAGAAAACAACCAAAAGAAGTACATAATCTGTCTGAATATATCATAGAACAAACTAAATTATCACCTTCTTCAGCTCACTGTAAAAAACAAAACAAAACCATAAAGCATTGGTTTCATGGAAGACTCTATGATCAAGAGTCAAAATGGCCAACCACAGAACTTCAAGGAGGTGAAAACAATTATGTACTTATAAGTTGGGCAATTAAAATCCACAACTACTGTAAGGCTGCGAGAACGGGAAGAGAGAGTGCAGATTTGCCAGAAGCCTGGCAATCTCCCAACGGGCTGCCTGCTCTAACAAGGACGAGCAAGGTGGTTGGTACTCACAGGCCTTCTTCCTTAATGATCTCCAGGAGCACCATGTGTGTAGTTTTGGACTTTCTTTTCTCATCAACTATAAGATGAAAGAATATACATTTAAACTAAATCTGAGAATTATGATCTTCAGCATCAGCAAGTTTCACTGAAATGCCATTTACCTCACCTGAGCGATCTCCCGCCCTATTTGAGCTCCTTAGCTTGCCTCAGAACTCAACAACCCTCCTTGTTCCCATGTGCTCAATTCCCAACTGTGGATCCCTTGGGTTTCATCTGGTATTCACGAACCATAAAGCATTTTAATTCAACACCTAATTTCCAAAGCAAAGGTGTGACAGGAGATCTGCAATTTCATAAGGCTTATCTTGTTTGGGGCTTTTTTTTTTTTTTTTTTTTTTTTTTCAAAGTCACGTATTCTCGTTTTTATCTTAACATCTTATAAAGTAGAGTGGAAATAAATTACCATCTCCCTGTTAGGGAAGAGGCTACAGACACAAAAGCTGTGAAGGACACATGTAGTTGGCAGCAGGGCCAGGATTAAAACTCAAGTTTTCAAAGTTTTAGGCTTGTGCTCGGTTTCCTAACCTAAAAACTAAAAGGTCTCAAAAGGATGAGAATTGGGGCACCTAGGAGGCTCACTCAGCACCTAAGAGCCTCGCCCAGGAGGGCTCAAACTCGGTTCATGAGTTTGAGCCCTGCGTTGGGCTCTGTGCTGACAGCTCAGAGCCTGGAGCTGCTTCAGATTCTGTGTCTCCCTCTCTCTCTCTGCCTCTCCCCTGTTAACACTTTGTCTCTCTCTCAAAAATAAACATTAAAAAAAACATTACAGGGAAAATGAGTGACAGGCATTGAGGAAGGCACTTTTTGGGATGAGCACTGGGTGTCCTATGTAAGTGATGCATCACAGGAATATACTCCTGAAGTCAAGAGCACACTGTGTACACTGTATGTTAGCTAACTTGACAATAAATTATATTAAAAAAAAAGAAATAAAAATAAAATAAAAGACAAATGCAACGATTGTAAAAAAAAAAAAAAATTACAAACAGGTTTCACCCTTTGATCCAGCAATCTCATTTCTGGGAATTTATCACATTGAGCTTACAAAAACAAAGCAGCATATGAACAAGTCTATTCTACAAAAGAGAAGAAACCACCCAAGAATCTAGAAAGGGGGAAGGGTAAACAGGTTATGGAGCATCCACACTATGGAACACTCTACAGTCAGAAGGATGAAGAAGCTCCCAAAGCATTGATTTGGAAGGCATTTACAATATGCTGTTAAGTGAAAAATATAAGGTGCAGAACAGTGTAGCAAAAAATGCTTTTTGTGTAAGAAAGGGAGAAAACTAAGAATGTATATATTATTTTTTTAAATATTTATTTATTTTTGGGAGCGTGCAAGTTGGGGAGGGGCAGAGAGAGGGGGACAGAGGATCTGAAACAGGCTCTGCGTTGACAGGCTGACAGCAGCGTGCCTGATGTGGGGCTCGAACTCAACAACCTTGAGATCATGACCTGAGCTGACATCAGACACTCAACCAACTGAATCACCCAGGTGCCCCTATATATATTTTTTTATTTGCTTGTTATTCCATAACAAAACTCTGCAAGACTATTTGAGAGATTAATAAAGACATTATCTGCAAGGGAGAGAAGAGAGGGAAAGAAGGGGCAGATTACAGTGAGATTTTCCACCATACTGTGTATCATTTTATAGATTTTTGGCTTTTGAGTCATGTGAAATTATTACCAATCACAAAACTCTAAAATTAATGTAAAATAATAGCCATGAAGGGTTTTATTGTAGGAATTAGTTTATTCAAAGCTAATCTTACTCTTTTATTTCTTCATGTAAGTTCTGGCACAGGTTTATAATTTCAAGTTGAAAAATACTGAGGGAAAAACAAGCAGGAATTATAGAGGGTTGCACAGTCCAATAATGCAAAAAAGGCAAACTAAGACTACATGCCCAATTTAGCAGTGACAGTGGGTGTTTGGCTTCAATGCATTTCCTATTTCTTCTCTGTTCTCTTTTGAGAAGATCTACTCCCAGCAAAAACTCTCCACATTGTGCCTTTAAAAAGTCATATTGCTGGGGCTCCTAGTTGGCTCAGTTGGTAGAGCATGTAACGCTTGATCCTGGGGTTGTAAGTTCGAGCCCCATAATGGGTGTAGAGATTACTTAAAAAAAATAATAAAATCTTTTTTAAAAAGTCATATTGTTTATTGGAAAGAATTGTAATGATTCTAAAGTACTAAAGCAAGCCCACTCAGGTTCTCTCAGATTAGAGAATGCTTGAGGCTATGACTCATTTATGAACGCCTCTCTGTTAATGAGGAAACAGCACTGATGACCAGTATTTAAAGTCAGTGGAAAAGGACAAGGGTAGATCCCTAACAAAACAGATATTCTTACGTTACTAGAAAAATTTGTTTGTTTCCTGACACCAAATGAAAAGAATATGATGCCTACAAAAGTTACTTACCTTGAAGTCGAAGTCGAGCTGTATCCAAGGGAAAGAATACTGTCATTGCTGTCACACTTCCCTGAAAAATTTGAAAAGACTTTAGCCATTATAGTTTCACAAAAATAAAGAGCCACAACTTTTAAATGAACAAAAGTTCATTATTTAAAAAAAAATTTTTTTTCAACGTTTTTTTATTTATTTTTGGGACAGAGAGAGACAGAGCATGAACGGGGGAGGGGCAGAGAGAGAGGGAGACACAGAATCGGAAACAGGCTCCAGGCTCCGAGCCATCAGCCCAGAGCCTGACGCGGGGCTCGAACTCACGGAGCGCGAGATCGTGACCTGGCTGAAGTCGGACGCTTAACCGACTGCGCCACCCAGGCGCCCCCAAAAGTTCATTATTAACCGGGGGTCAAATCAGATTTCCAGTGAACAGACATATACAATATTGGGATTATTTCTGTTCAAGTTCTAAAGTTATACACTTAAACACAAGTATTTCATTTTCCAGAAGAAATCTTTTTCTCTCTCATACTGAAAAAGAAAATGAAGTGGGTCCCTGAAGAGAAAAACATAGAGGTTTGCAACCCAGGACACACATAAAAAATAGCAGATAAATTGATTTTTTTAACCCTTTATAGATCAGTTGCTGTTCCTATTCTCTGATAACCTTACAAGCCAAAATATCCAGTAATAAAACAGATAAATACTTCTAGTCTCTTTGCTTAGTCAATATATTTACCACAAAGTAAAAGAGGTATAAAAATCATATTGTTCTTTACAATAGCTTTGTTTACTTGTGTTTGAAATAAAATAGGGACAATCTCAGCTCAATATTCTATAAATAATTCATCCAGGGTAACACAATGATAAAAATTATCAGGGAAAGAAGCCAGCAACCGGTCTTTCTATTCATAAAACCTTATGACAGATAAAAACCACAAGCATATAGTTAGGGATGAAATTATACAGATGAAATCTCCAGGTGGGTTTATGGTTCTCAACCTAGATGGAGGCCCACTGGTATATATTCTCAGGCAGAGTATCAAGTTTTGAGCTACTGATCTAATAATGGTTATGTACAATATTTTAATCATGGTAACAACTGGAAATTAGGTCAACTTTATAGATAAGAAGAAACATTTGCCAGATCGCTTAGCTATTTAAATAGGTCAGCCTGTTTGACAAGGAAGAGCACTGTATTGTCCTATTAGAATGCTTCAAACCTCAGATTGAATGTTACCACCCCCTACCTATCAGGTTACATTACGATATGTTGTTCATGCTCTGTGTTCCCATGGCACTTGTTTATATGTCTCCTCTACAGGATTATAAGACTATTCACTCTATCTCTTTGTATAACATAGATTAATGAAATATTTATTCAACTTACCCTTCAGTTATTTATGCTTTTTTGATGACTCCAATATAAATGTTCTTTTCTAGTAAGGACTAGGTAATATTTGATGTCCCAAGGAACCCTGGACCTACAAAGGCTTATAGTCTACAGAGATGCTTCTGGCATCCTTGCTCACGTTACAGGCAATTTCCAAGAAAAATGAGGACTGCAAAGCTGGACAATGCTTACTAAGGTTATTAAGGCTGTGGCATTTTTTTTCCTATTGCATAGTACTACGTGTCCATGCCGGTATTGCATAAACGGGGCATTTCAGGCAGAAAAATCCTGTCTGGAAACTTTTTCAAACAACTGGGACATCTCCATTCCTCTTCCTTGCCAGCTTTAAACATACACCCAAAGTTCCTAACTTAGAAACCCCTGCCTACCTACCTTGAAATCTTAAAGGGAAGTACATCTTACACCAAGATAAAGAGAACAGCCAGTCCAAAGAGCTCAATGGTCTATTACCTCCTCAGGAACTAACATAAAAAGTTCAAATCTAGTAAAACGAGTTCAAATTTAGTAAAACTAAAAAAACTTTTTAAAATTTATTAGTACTGGAATTGTTTCTCGGCCTTTTGACTAAGATCAAGTGTAAAATTTATTAGTAGTGGAAAGACTAGAGCAAGATAGTGAACTGAAAACCCAGCATTGCCTCCTCCTTCATTCCAATCACTAATAATCACAGAAAAGGCTTATATATGAAAGTGTTGTATAGAAAAACAAAGAAGGGTCTATTGGTGGACCAGAAATTAAAAGGATAGCAGTGAGGCTATTTTGAAAGAACTCACAGACAAAATGCACAGGAGATAGGTGTGGTAAGCAGAATAACAGTCCCCTGAAAGATGTCCATGGCCTAATCCTCAGCATCTGTGAACACATTGTATTACATGGCAGGTTGCTGATCACCGACTTTAAAATAGGGAGATTATTCTGGATTATGTGAGTGGGTCCAATATAATCACAAGGGTCCTTAAAAGTAGAAGGAGCTAGAAGAATACGTGGGAGTAAGGCAATGTGCAGGTTCAACCACTACTGATGGCTTTTAGACAAAGGGGCCACTAGTCAAGGAATACAAGTGTCTCTAGAAGCCAGAAAAGGCAAGGAAATGGATTCTCCCCTACAGCCTCCATTAAAGAACACAGCCCTGCTGACACCTTTGATTCTAGCTCAGTAAGACCTGCATCCGACCTCTGACCTATGGACCTACAGATATAAAATCTGTGTTGTTTTAAACCACTTAATCTTGGGTAATTTGTTACAGCAGCAATAGAACTCTAATACAACAGGATTACTACAAATGGTGAGAATGAGCATTGGGAAGCAGAAGGGAGCTCTGGGGTGACTTTCTGGTTGATTAGTTGGGTACCCTAACAACTGAAGTCAGGTGTCTCAGTCTCAGGTGGTTTATCTGTCAGGAACACTCAGTCAGAATGGGGGAAACTAGGAAAAACTCTGGAGACCAGAAAGCTTGCCATTGTCATACCCTGAGGGAAGACAATGCCACCTTTTCATCACATTCCCCTGGAGGCCAGCAGCAGTAAACATGCATAGGCAGGGGGGAGGAGTGTCGAATGGGGAGGAAATGAAAAGCTTACCAGTTTTACCTATTTAAGGAGAAGACACAGACACAGACACACACATTTATTCCAGGTTTTGTTAGAAAACCTAAGTATAAATGTGAGAGTTAAAAATTTAAGGGTGAAATGAGGGCTTCCATTTCCAGCAATATGGTGGTCTAGACAACATGGTGCAAAATACCTAGTACTGTTACATAACATAAAAAAAATATAACAAACATCCTTTAAATGCTTAGCTGAGCTCACAAGAAAGTAAGGGAAATCAACTGGAGGCAGAAAGAAGAGTAGAAACCCTCAGAATTAAGCAGATGCTGCCTTTGGTCGCCTAAGAATTTTTTGCCAGTCTAATTGATCAAGTGGCTTCATTACCACTTGTAAATTGAAGTGGAATTCACATAACGTATATTAACCATTTAAAAGTATGCCATTCAAGGCGCCTGGATGGCTTGGTTGAGCGTCCGACTTCAGCTCAGGTCATGATTTCATGGTTGGTGAGTTGGAGCCCCATATCGGGCTTGCTGCTGTCAGCACAGAGCCTGCTTTGGATCCTCTGTCTCCCTCTTTCTGCCCCCTTCTGCTCGTGCTCTCACAAAACACACACACACACACACACACACACACACACACACACACACACACACACACACAACAAAGAAACACTAAAACAAAAAAACAACAACAAAAAAACATTTAAAAGTATACCAGTGACATTTAGTATATTCACAATGTCGTGCAACCACGACCTCTATCAAATTCCAAAAGATTTTCATCACCTCAAAAGAAAAGCAGGCATGTTCTATTTCCCCCTCTACTCAGCCCTGACTCTGATATTTCATATAAAAACACTCATGCAAAATGTGACCTCTTGTGTATGACTTCTTTCACGTAGCATAATGTTTTCAAGGTTTATCCACTTTGGAGCATATATCAGTACTTCATTCCTTTTTATGGCCAAGTAATATTCGATTGTGTATATATACTACGTTGTGTTTATTCAAAACGTTTTGGAATGATACAGACGTAGGAGTTGCACAACACTGTGAATGTACTAAGTACTGCTGAAATGTACACTTTAAAGTTTGTTTTTTAGTAATCTCCACACCCGATACTGGGCTTGAATTTAGGACCTCAAGATCAAGAGTTGCATGCTCTTTGGACTGAGCCAGATGGGTGGCCCTGAACTGTACACTTTAAAATGGTTAATTTTATATTATGTGAATTATACAATCAAAAACAAAAACACTTAATCCTCGCAACAACCTGATAAGGTATGTACTAGTATTCTCTCCATTTTACACGAGGAAAAAAAAACACCAAGAAGTTTTATAACTTTTCCTAAAGTTATACACTTTGTAAGTGGCAGAATCTGTGTCTGAACATTGACAGCCTGGCTCCAGAGTTCACGCTCTTAACCACTGTTGTAATTAATACTTGAAAAAAATTTTACTAATATACTACTAAAAGTTACTGGAAAAGAAAAAAAAGGGGGCTAGTATGGGACCTATTTTAGGTGTCAAATCTTTTTTTGTGTACCAGTCTGGAAACTCAGCATAGAGCCCGGTATAGCATAAACCCTGAACTTGTTAAATTCATGTATGACTGTATGCACCTATAAATAAACCGAACATCCATGAGAAAATGTATTCAAAATGCTAAAGATAAATCTGGAACACAGCTATTCTGTACATTGGGGATTTGCTATATTTGTCTCCTCACCAAGCAAACACACAGATGACTGCTTTCGTTTTCCTAAGCAGCTGCTACCTGAAGGACAATATTTATTATAGATGCGAGTCTTATGCCAAGCTATAAAAGCACATGACTTTTTAGAATTTGCATTAAATTCCTCTTTCATAAATACTCAGTGGTTTTTTTCTCCCCTCCCTAGGACTGTCTGTTCACTGACATAAAATTAGAAGGCACAAAATACTGAGACGATAACCACGATGTACAATACTGTTGTGCCAGAGAGGCATAAAAATAAATCCATTATTTTGAGTCCCACAGAATTCTAACCATCTAAGTGGGAGTTCTACTGCTGAACATTAATTACAATTTAAAAGAATCCATTTCCAGAGAAACAACCTTCTGGTGTCTCAC